TCACAGTAGTGACATTCATAAGAAAATTAACTTGTTTTTGCTTTCTATGGTCTATGATTATGTTAAAGAAATGCGTAGAAATTATACTTAACTCTTGATTTTATAAATCTTGGGAAATATTTCTTTAATTAATTCATAATTTTCAGTCAATTACCTAGATCAGTGATTAAACATGATTTATGACTCTGATTTATTGCCGATTTTTTTTCGAAACCATCAAAATTGCCTTGATTTTCACGAAATAGAGGGTCACCGCTATGTGGCTTAGTTTTTCTATTTTATAGTTGACTCTTTCTTGCGAGTCGCCCATGAGTCCCCTGGAAAATACGAATATCCTGGGAAGTCCACGTCGAAACTTCCCAGAGATTTCGCATTTTCCAGGGGACTTATGAATAATTCTCTAGGGATCTCTAATTTTTTGGGAGTCATTCTTAAATCCCTTGGAAATCCCTCAACTTTCCTGTTAAATTCTTGGAGAATTCCTGAATTATCCTTGTAAATTCCTAAGGAGTCTATGTCGAAAATCCCCAGGGATTCTTTTAGGGTGTGTTGACTAGGGTTCTTTTCCTGCGTAAGTTTCGTCATTTTTCTAAAGTACGATGAATCATTGTGGGTAGTGATGTGAGATAATATCAAAAATTTAAAAAAAAAATGCTGCTTCTCACGTATTAATATTAAAAATTTATTTTAATCCACAAATGTATAAATTAATGTTAATTCATGCAAATATCAACTATAATGTGACACCTCTGATCGCCCAAGGAATAAGTTTTGACCTATGGTCTACTTATGATTAGATAGAACTAATGTTACTCGAATCGAACCGCATCCAAACCAGTTTTTCAAAAGTGAATCCGAATCGAACTGAACTTGATCCAGAAAAACTCAGTTCGATTCATTCTCTGATAGAGAGCTGGCCACAGTCATGGTCACGGTCACACAGCTCCCAAACTGTTGGACACCGAACAGATTCGATCGATCTGTGAATCAGTGTAGGCTAAAAAATAAAAACAACTTTTTCGGTAGATGTAACATCTATAGTTGCTTAGAGGAAACAAAGAAAATTGTCTTGATTAGATGCCAATAGAGGAGTTTTTCAATTATTTCGTTTATTTCTTCTTCATGTTACGTATCTCAAACCGATAACCTGGATTAAAAGCCAGTAAATCGGTGCCTAAGGAGTGGATACAACGTTTTTTTTACAAAATATTGATAGTAGAAAAAGGTTTTAGGCTTCTGTTTTGATTGATGCAAATTTCTAGATGATAATAAAATGAAAAAATATTTTTCTTATTCTCCTAATCGTTTTTTCTTTCTTTATTAGGCATGTTTCATTTTCGGTTTTGGTTATTTGGCGAATGGAATGATGTTGTTATTGATGATCGATTACCATGTTACAAGGGTAATTTTGTATTTTGTCGAAATAACAAAGATCCAAATGAACTATGGGCACCATTACTCGAAAAGGCCTACGCAAAGTATATACAAACATTTGCTCGAAACGTACTTTAAAAATAAATCATGCTAAAAATGATATTCTATTTTAGAGTATGTGGTTCATATCAACTAATGGCTGGTGGGCGAATGGCCGATGGTCTCGTTGATTTCACAGGCGGCATTGATGAATCGATTATGTTGGATCAACAATCACCTCCACCAGAACTTAAAGAAGAAATTAAACGTCTTCTGTCTCAAGCATTGGCAAGAAAATCTATGGTGGGATGTAATATATTTCCAACTGAGAAAGAGCCGAATGCTGGATTGTTACATAATGGGCTTGTTTCGGGTAAAATTGTTGTAGTATTAATATCTCATCTCACAACTGATAAGGGAAGATTACCAACTGTAAAATCGCTTTTGACTCAAGACTATTGGTATCATGTAGTCCCTAATGAGCTATGAATACCATGACCAGAGTTCGGGTCCTGTGCTTATTCCTGACAAGATACAGTAAAATCTCTCTAAAGTGGACACCCGTGGAGCCCTTTCAAAATGCCCAGCTTAGAGAGATTATGGATTAAAAAATAAAATAAATAGTTTCCGCAGTAATAATGAAGCGTTGCAGTCTTCCCCTTGAGCTAAAAAAATGCAAGGATCGGATTGCTAATCTTTATTTCTTTTTTCTGAACGTATTCTTATCAAGATGATCACTGATTTTTTTCTGGAAATAGTCCGTGATCGAGCTCTGCTTAGCAGTCTTAGCGTCCAGCCTAGGAAGATGTCGCCCAGTTTTTGCTTCGACTTCACTAACTAGCTGGTGCAGCTCGGAGTGCTGGGAGGATGCCAAGATATATAATTTTCAAATCATCTCGAGAGTCTCAAGTTATTTCGGTGGTTCTTCCTGATGAGATTCTTCTTCATCGTCAATGTCAGTAGTGTGTGTACTGCTGATTGTGAAAAAGTTTTCTCAATCAGCTGATTAATATAAAGAATGGCGCAGAAAACACGCCTCTTTATACAGTTTCAGTCGCACCACGTACTTACGCGTCAAAGTTGTTTCTTCGGATTGAGCCTGCGCGTGGACACTTGTTCTTTAAAAGAAAAAATCCAATTGAAACGGCCGAGTGTCCACCTTAAAGAGGTTATCATTGCTGACGAGGCGATAAAAAAGTATTCACTGTCCAGGACAGCGAGATGCCCAGTTTGAAGAGGTTCGTTTTCGGCAAAAAATTGTCGGGAGATCCAGAAGTCTCCAGTTTATGGAGGTGTCCACCTTTAGAGGTTTCACTGTACTGCATTTTTATGGTACTGTTTAACAGAATTTTGTGGTCTCACTCAGGAACACGACAAAAACTGATTTTCGAATTTCGACCTGTAACTTTGCACAGAGATAGCCCTTAAGAGGAATAGTTTATTGTAAAAATTTCAAATTTTTTTGTTGCTCCTATCCAGAAATACGAACATCGAATATACCCGTGTATATGAGCGATGTAAAAGACACGCTTTTACCATAGCCGTATCTTAGATTAGAAACAATGAAAAGATCTGAAGCTTTCATAATAAACTATTCTTGTTAAAACCTATCTCTTTGTATAGTTTCAAGTTGAAATTCGAAAATCTGTTTTTGTAATATTCCTGAGGGAGACCACGGAATTCTACTAAAAAATGCCGTAAAATGCAATGTCTTGTTAGGAATAAGCTAAGGGTCCGAACTTTTTTCAGGGTATTCATAGCTCATTAGGGACTATATGATGCACATAGTCTCGACTCAAAAGCGATTTGACAAGTTGGTGGTCTTTTCTCGTGAGTGAAAGCATCGATGTTTTTCAATATTTTGAATGACACATTGACCGTTACTGTATCTTATCAGTTCTTTAGGGAATCTATCAAAAAAAGGCTTTAAGTCATGATGTACCTTTATGATGCATTTTGGAACAGGTATCATAGTATAACGAAGACAACAAATTTTTTCTAGTTCTAATTAAACGGTTATTGAACGGAAAGAAAAGTGTCAATTATCGATCGTCAAAAAACCGAGATTTCTAACTTTCAGATTTTCTAGGTAGAAAAATATTGCTGAAACCAAGTTTCAACACACTTTGTTTCTAATTTCAATTCGGTGTCAATAAAATTGATTTTACTTTTCTTTAGAAACCTGTACTATTTCCAAAATTTACGTCAAAAGCTAGGCCAAACTATCTGTTTGACGAGTTTGATGAAATGCTTTGGAAAAAACAGAAATGAGTTGCGAAGAGTTGTAAGAAAAGTCGTCAAACAGATGGTTCGACCTGATGTTTTTGACGTAGCTTCTGAAAATAGTATAGTTTTTTAAAGTCAAATCACTTTATTGATAAAAAGTCAAAATTCAGAAACCAAAGAGAGTAATGAATAAGTTTAAAATCGGTTTCAATATATCTGTATAGCTATAAATAACCTTAAAAGTTATCACTCAACTTTTCGTCGATCAGCCAAAGACACTGTTTATTTAATCACTTAATCAGAACCAAAAACTATGATGTTTAAGAAATTTATCCGAAAATGCATTATAAACGTATAGTATGACTTGAAGCCTTTTGTTAATAGATTCACTAACAATTGATAAAATACAGTAGTAGTCAAGTTTTTTTATTCAAAATATTGAAAAACATTATCGATCTCTAGCTGTTTTTCTTTTTGAACATTTTCATAAAACATTCGCATGTTCACTCAGTGGTGAGATGAATACTACTTAGTTCGATGTTTCGATTGTAATATTGTTTGTTGCACTTTTTTGTTTGAAACAGGACATGCATTTTCCATAACACAAAAGAAAGATTTAAATACACAGAATGGAGTTGTTACATTGATTAGATGTTTAAATCCGTGGAATGATTCAATTGAATGGAACGGTGATTGGGGCGATAAGTAAGCTTCTTCTATATAGAGAAAATGATTAACAAGAAAAGAACTTTGTTTTTTTCTTTATCGTTATGTTATGTTCTTCATAGCTCACAGTTGTGGGACGGAGTGGCTGAAGAAGAAAAGCGCAAATTTAAATTTCAAAGATTACACGATGGAGAATTTTGGATGTCTTACGATGATTTTTTTACTAATTTTCATGAGCTTCAAATTTGTCACCGTACTCCAGAATCCGTGGGTCTTTTTGAAACTGCTTCACCTACATCGCTTCCGAGTCCGGTAAAGGATCACAAAAGAGAAACATGTGTCATTCATTCGATTTAACTAATTAAACATGCTCATTTTATATTTTTTCTAAGGAAAATGAATTGACATGGCATGAAGAAATGTTTCACGGCAAATGGAAAGAAGGAGAATCTGCTGGTGGAAGCGGCTTGGAGAGACAGCCCCCAGGTATGAAGCTAACGGAGAATGAAATGTAGGCATATAGTAGATACTATAATAATAGTAGGGGTAGAAGTGAGAGATGCACAGAACAAAAAGAACTATATTACTCGGAATCCCATGCACAAAATCTTTTTCTCACAGTTCGATAAGCGGATTGTTATATAGCAAATTTTAAAAGTTGCTGACTGATGCCGAGACGAAACTCCTACTCTGATAGAATCTGAATGCCAAGAGGTAGCTCATAGCTTCATAAGGCTTCTGAGATAGGTACATCAAATTTTTTTAAAGAACTTAATAGTCTTCGTTGCCTGTATGCAAGTATCATAAACGAGAAAATATCGGTTTGTTTGTACATTTGTCGATCGTCGTATACTGGATGCATGAATCGTAAAAAAATCACGGAAGGAGAGAAAGAAGTCGTCTATGAGAAAGGAATGGAGAAACAGTGTAAATTGTACACTCCACAGGCAGCCAACAAGGTGACTTAGCGAAGAAGACAAAAGCGACATTTATCGAATGAAACTGGATACATATAGCTTTCGCATAGTAGTGCTGGTGTATAGAAATGGATAGAACAGGTGTGTGGTGTTTTTGAGAAAGTGTTGACATGCCTTGAAATATTTTACTCTGATTGCACGATCTTACAGTCAAAGGATCTGCGAGTTTGTATGAAAATCAAAATACGATTAGGATTCTGATCGTCTCTCGATCAGCGGCAGCAAAGAACAGAAGAGAGTGACAAGGGAAGGAGCGAACAAGACCACAAATTGGTCCACGATGTTTTTTTGCTAAAAAGAAATATATTTTGTGTGTAAGCCATATCCATTATGAATGGATAATATCATACAGTGAGTCCTGTTGTAGCATATTCAACCTATCTCATATATGATATTGTTGCGGACAAGCCAATATTCCATAAGCCAAATTTTTACAAAAAAACCAGGAAAAATCCAGTGAAACGTTTTATTAGATTTTTACCAAGTTTTTGAAAATTTGGTTAATGGAATACTGGCTTGTCCCGAATAATATCATGTATGAGATAGGTCGAATATGTAAGAACAGGACTCATTGTGTTGCATTATTCATTCATAGTAGATATGGCTCACACACAAAATAAATCTTTTTAGCAAAAAAACATCGTGGGCCAATTTATAGTCTCATCTGCTCCTGTTCTTCGTCACTTGTGTGTACTAGAAAAGAATCAAATGAATCAGCATGATGAAAATGAATTGTTTTTATTATAGAAAAGTATTGGACCAATCCTCAATATCTGATCAAATTAGAATTTACCGATGGTGGTATTAAAGAGAAATGGCGTACAATGATTATTGCATTAATGTTTAAAAGAAGACAACTAAAATTAAATGACGGACAACCTGTACTCATAGGATTTGATGTTTATCGGGTAAATACATACCTGTTTTCACATCATCCTATTTTTAGTATGTCGAACAACATGCTTTCTCATCTCCTATTGTTCTTTGAGTTACATAATTATCATCATTTTCTTATAAAGAAAAACCAAACAAATCACTATAAAGTATCGATTTTCTAAGGAATCATGCGTATTTTCTATGAACCGTGCAGCAAAGATATATATATATATATAAGCAATGTCTATAATAAACAGCTTTATTAGAAAATATTCGATAGCTTATGTGAAAACCTGGAAGGTCAATCTTACCTGTTTTCAATAAAAACTACATTGTTATACATTATTGACATGTGCTATAACTTCAATTTTGGAACCACTTATCAAAAGATTTTCATTTTTCCACAGGTGGACTACGTCTCAGGAAAAATGAAAAACTTGTGTTCATGAAGAGAAATTTAGATTTTTGAAAAAGTGGATCAACTGAAGTTTCTTGAATCTTGTAACAAAACTAAACATTTCAATGATGAGCAGCGCATTTAATAGTCTATGCGTCAATTGTGTTCAAGATTCTCAGAGATGACCGACTTCTTCCATCGAAGATATACTATAGCAAACTCGGACCTTTAACAGGATTGTAGCCACAGCTATCTATTTTTAGAAACAGACGGCCGCAAATCTTTAGCTGTTTCAGAACAACGAAGTATCGTCTACTGTCTAATGCCTATTCGTATCATCGCAATGCTTCCTCAGAAATATCATCCGACTTAGTTTTTCACGTAGATTATATTGAATTGATGTTGATACAAAGTTGTATTGAGTAGTGAAAAAGGCGAAATACTGATGAAAACTGTGGGTTTTCTTCAAGAAGGACTAATGATATATGATTATTTTCATCGGGGTCCAAGCTTTGATATAAACACAATATAAAAGAACAGCAGAAGTAAAAATGACTAATTGGTAGATTTTGGTTCATTTTACCTCAAGTTCATTATGATAACGGTTTTTACATTGTATTTGACATTAAAATCAAATTCATTCAACACATCTTATCATAGATGCCGCTTTTCAACGGTTGAAAAGTTCATTGTTAGATGATGGTAGTGACGATAGTAAAAATTATGAAATACAGCTAATCAATAAAAATTGCAGAATATGTTAGTTACTTATAACGATATAGTGTTTATTGAGAAAAGGTGAGGCGAGAAAACAGCGATATTGACTCTCTTACGAGGTAACATATGCAAATGTAAAATCACTTTTGAGTCGGGACTCTGTGCATCATGTAGACTTTACTGAGACTAGAAAAAGCCCAAA